ACGACACACTGTGGAGCCAGAATTTAATAATAACAAATGATTTAAAGCAAAGTGGTGTATGAACACAGAAACGGTGAAAAGAAGTACTCCTGAACATCAGAATCTGAATATTTTGTTAATCCCAAGGGGAAATTGCTACATAACAGCCTCCAAATTTAAATATGACAGAAAAAAAAAAATGTTAGAAAACGGTAGTATAAATATGAAACCCAGAAAAATATCAACTGTAATATTTTTGAAATAAAAACTCCAAAACTGTATAAAGTTAAGCAATTTTATATGCAAAATAATACATACAATAATACAAGATAATGTAAATGAAAATAATTCAGGTGTCAGTCTGTAATCATGACTGGAGGACTTTTAGAGTTTGACAGCTACACGGTATCCTGTGGCATGAGTCTTCTGCTGAATGTGCTCACAGCACAGCATGAAGATGTTGTGAAGGGTTTTCCAATATTGTCTGCAAGCTCCAGTATGTCACTTATTAAGCATCTCGGCAGCCTCAGAAAGAGACCCCTATGCCCCTGCTTGTACAGGGCTTCTGTGTTTTTTTATGAAGTCCAGTTGATTGCCCATGTGAACACTGAGGTATTTGTAATCCTCTACTGTCTCCACACAGACCCCATGAATGGAAATAGGTGTCACTGGTGTTCTGGTCCACCTCATCCTCACCACCAGTTCCTTTGTCTCTTTCAGGTTAAGCTCCAGATTGTTGTGTTGTGTGAGCAGAACTGAGTTATGCAGCAAGGTCATCAGTGCAATAACTGCACATCTTAAAATCTGTTAATAAGTTGTATGTTCTTCAGACCAGAAATGCAGGCTTTGGGGTCGATCTCGAGTCTGGCTACCTGGTTTGTAAAACACAGAGCTGATAGGGTTAAAAAAAAATGCTGTTTAGATATCAAAAGACTTATTCTGTATCAAGTATGGGATATATAAATATTAATAGCATATTAGTGCCAATGTAAACATAGTCACTGGTAATGATGCTTTAACTGTGTTTATTAGAAATGTTTCATAAACTAAATTCTTCTCTGCCCAACCTAATTACACAGTAATTGAGTTCACGAGTTTAGGGTTGTAATTTTAAAGTTACGGCGTTTTATTTCTTAACGCTTACAGAGCCATGCTGGTTAACACATTCCCATTATGACTGGATGAAACAATGTGACCATGGCATTAGTTTGTTTTGTCCAGTCTGCCAGAGTGAATCTTTTGAGATGCTCTCTGGACGTAAATGAGATGGGTAATTTTGAAACAGACAGGTCCCGTCAAAAGCACGTTCTTCTTGTCGGCAGATGTTGTACAGATTCTCACAGCTGATGGCAGATTCTAGCTTGTTCAGCACCAAACACAGTTAATTAAACGTCTCGCCCTGATGTGTTTTGTGAATATATGCATAGGAGATTAATAAGATCAATTACAGATTTGTGTAGGAGAGGGAATCGTTGTCCCCAAAAGTCATACTGACAGGGAGATTAAGCACATCAGTCTACTGGAGGGGGGGGAAAGGGGTCTGTCCTCTGCCTGTGATTGCCTGTTACTGTTCTGTTGCTACTTTGTCATTCACTCTCAATACGGTGTTAATTCGGTTCAAATCACTTTATTGACACCAGTGACACAAACAGTCCTGGTGGAGCATGTAAATGAATTTGGAATTAGAAAACAAAAGTGTGTGTTTTATGCATGCATGATATTCAGGGAGATTAGCACATTAAAAACGCAGGATCAAGTAAATAGTGACAATCAGCTCTAATCACTCCTTATTTCAAATTCTAATTCAAACAAATACCTGGCGCAGTGGAGTGGCTGCAAAGCATCAAATAAACAGAGGGTGTGGTTGGTGGTCGTTGTCAAATAGCATCTTCGTTGGTTGGCTTATTGTTGATTTTTTTTTTAAAATTTATTGTTAATTTAGTGCTAATTTGTGCTGCACCTCTATATTTGTCTCAACACGTGGAGTCATTTGGTAGCCAAGACTTGCTATTCTCTGCATCTTTACTGAGTTTATTGTGTTCACTACTCTTTATGTTCATCAGTTTCAGTTTGTTTAGTTGTGTTTCTGTCCAGCTTGATATTGCATAAGCATCTGAGTACCTCAGTAGCTGCTGATAGGATGTGGGAATTTAGTCTTTAAGCAATGTGGTTATAATTTTCATTTCAACTTCATCCAGGCGGGGTCCACCCTAGACAGGTCGCCAGCCTAACACAGGGCTAACACAGAGAAACCATTCAATTTTCAGATGAATCATCAATTAATCTAACCGTGTCTTTGGACTGTGGAAGTCAGAGTAACTGGCCAGATGGTGGATTCAAACCCAGGATATTTATGCTGTAAGGCGACGGTGCTGCCCCATTTTTAATTTTATTTGTTATTATGATAATAATTTCAGTTTGATGCTTCAAGAGGGGAAAAAAATTGAGATTTTCTCAACTTTAAGGCAAACAATTGAAGCAACTACCAATGAGAATGAAGGACAATATTGATTGACATGTGATGGGGCAGTAAATACATTAGTGTTATTTAAAGAGCCAACGACTCTTCACTAGCAGCCAACCATCACCTTCAAAGCAGCATGTGATGACTGGATTACCTTCTGTGTGAATGCAGTTTATCAAATGGGTACAAATATGCACATCATTTCATGCTCTGCTAAGATCATGAACAAAGACAGTGTTCACATTGTCACTGTGAGCAGCTGACTTTTTAATTTGATAGGTGGTACCTGCACTACATAACACACCAACATAAGCAAGAATTATTGTCATTATTGGAGTATTGTTGCATTGTTGCAACACCCGCCAGCCATCGAAATTTGCAAACAAATATTCTGATAGTTTGGTTTGTTTTGTTTTGGGGACTGGAAACTTTGTGGTTTCTGTGATCTGTTTGAAGTCTGGGTTTGAGTGAACAGTCATGTTTGAGCTGACTTTGGCTGAAAAAGGTAAAAAGTCTGTATGGTGAGCAAAACAGGGATTGCCAAATTGACATGATCTGAGAATGATTTAGTTGAGATTGGGCGGTCTCTAACTAGGCACCGATTATCCAGCGCACAAAAGATTTCCATGAAGTCTTAATATGTTTTTACATTTGCAGATCCTATTGTGTGCAGCACTAGCTGGCCCATTTTATCATGCTTCTGTTACCGTCCAGTCTTCATAGAAACTACTGCTTCAACAGTACCACAGAACAAGTACAGTGCATTATTAGAATTATAGTATCATCTTGGGCCTCAAGGATTGGTTCATGAGACCTCCCTGCAGCATGCAGTGTATGTGCAAGCATGAACTTTACTCTTTCACGTGTTTATAGCCTTCATTACTTTCCTATAAAGTATCTAATTATGTCCAAACAAATTCTGGCAGGTTTCTTTACTTTAACATTTTCACAGTAAGAAGAAGGTGCCCGAGGCGTTTGCAGTGGCAGGCAATGATAAAATAAGACAGGCTGTGGTGTCCACTGCTTCTTTATTTTCTGCCGTCTTCATTAAACACTTGGGCACCTGTGCAGAACAATAAATCACGCCCTATACTTTCTTTATATGCCTACTAAAAGCTTTCCTTCTGCAGTATTGGTCATATCATTTCTTTTCACATATCATTCTCCAGTTTGTTTTTTTTCTCGTCTCTTTCCAGTCTCCCCTTTGGTTTCTCTGCTCTTCTCAAATACTTTAGAAAATAGGACCAGATTAGTAAAAGCATGCTAATGCTCAAGGACTCTCAAACCGCCTCATCCCCAGAGATAAATCCTGAAATTTAGACTTAAAAGAAGCAGAAAATTGAGGAAAATTGCCTTCTGGTTGCTAAGCTTTTACTGAAATATAACATCATTAAACTCCAACATTATGATTGCATCTATTTAGAGAGAATGTTTAGGTGTTTATGAATAAGACATTTTAAGGAAGTTTGTTTTGGCGTTATGTCACAACAGTCACTTACATTACAATTTATATAATTGCCATTTATTTAATTCCTTTCTTCCAGATTCTCTGTCATTCAAAAAGTAATGCTTAATATGCGTTATCATCATGTGCTGGAGATAAGCCTAATGTACATTATATTTTACTTTTATCTTCTCTAAATCCATAATTAGTAATTTCTCTTAATCCTCCATCCTCAGTCGTGCAGGTTGATCATTTTCAGTCCTACACAGGCAAAGCTTTTTTCTTACACCATATATAAAAATATTGTTTTTAATTTTGCCTTTTTTTAAACCTCTTTGTCAATAAGATGGTTTATTTTCATCACAGGGTAAAGTTTGTGTAACAAAGTTCTGAAGCCAGTTTTATATTACATTCTAATATTTTACACATGACCTTTTTAGCCGAACAACCTCCGGACTTTCCATACACAGCCACGACAAACGATCTGTAATCACCATGCTTATGTAAGAAACTGTGGCTTTTAATGCGAACACACTAATGTTACTCTGGGGCTAGACAAAGGTCACTGCCATGTTGCTCTTTAAAGCATGTGCAGTCTTAAAGCATTTAGGCCAACTACAGTTAAGTGTGTTGAGACAAGAGGTCACGTGGAAGGAGATTTTAAAGCAGAATGTGCTGGTGAAATTCCAGTGAGATGTAAAGTAATGTATGCATAAGATAGAAAAATGGTGAACATGTACATCAAACCTCATTACGATTCTTTTTCTCTGTATGTTGACTGAGCTGTTTGCTTGTTCAGACAAAGAACCGAGACAATCACAGATACTAAAGGGCAAAGACATTTGTCAGGATAAACTATAGACTTGTAAAGCAGGAAAAGGCCACACAAAGCATTTCATCATTTGTCCCCCACTATTACTAAAGTCATTAAAGCTTTACCAAGTGAATCATTCACTGTGGGTAAGCGTCTCAGTCTCAGATATGTGCTAAAATCACTCTTTATCCTAGTTTGTGTAGAAATATGTGCAGCTTTGGGGGGCTAAAATGAAAAAGGCTGAAATAGAAATTTGTGTCTTTTCAGAATTTATTCTGATTTAATCATCCCTGCTTTAGGAGCACTATCCCAGAACCAAGTCCACCCTCTCTTGGGCTCCCTGCCCATGCCAGGTCGATCCCTTCAGCAGCACACTCATGCCCAGCTGGAGCACTTCTTGCCGCTCAGGGTCAACGGCTCCTCGCCGCTTAGCCTCTTCCCCAATTTTAACACGGTAAGAACCCATTCTGCTTTTCTCTCGTACATGTATCACATACTGCAACTTTGGCTCCTTGACCATTTACATCTTTAGGTTTATCATTTACCATGCATTTGTTATAGAAACAGTCATTAGTCACAGTTTGCACATTATATTTTATGATGTTGTAGACAGTGCTGGACATATGCTTATTTGCCTTCTTGCCAAAAGTTGCCTGTACACCACCACAGTGGATTTGAAATCACTATGTGATTGAAGTTTAAGCGTTAGCTCAACGAGGTTAACAAAAAAAAAACTGAAATCATTTTCAGGAATCGACTCACAAACTAATATTTAAATCTAAAGATTATTTTGAATATTTAAATGATAATCCCCGCAGTTAATGACTGCATGAAGTGTAGAACCCCTGGACATCATCAAAGGCTTTTCTCTTCTCATCACTGCAAGTTTCTACAAGGTGCAAGTTAATTTTGATTTTATATAACCGAAATAATCATTTTCACAACTGTGCGGGTTCTTTTAGAGAATTTTGGAATAAGTCTAATCCGACCAGTGCTCCGCACCTTGCTGTAAACCCTCTGTATTTCCATTCTTGCATTTTTGCTGTCTTCTGTGGTCTTTCTGATTTTGGTTCTTCAGCCTAATGATGATGATGGCCTCCCTTATATACACTGATATCAATTTGAGCCTTATATTAAAAATGACTATTTAAAGCTATAAAATACAAATTCAGTACTTTGAATCAACTTCAGATATTGTGTTTGTTTTATTTGTTGCTAAATAACAAGGGGACAGGCCTCACCTGAGTATGAAACTGCTTGCTGGGCAATTGTAAGATTATTTTTAATGTTGGACTATTTATAAAAAGTTAATGCTAAATTTTTGTAAAAACCCTTTGAAATAAAGGTGAGAGTCTGCACTTCAGCCACACTGAAATCATGTGTACAGAAGCACTACAGAAAATGTTTTTTCTTTTTTGGATCTAACTTTAGGTGGATTTAATATCTTTGCTGTAGACAAATAAAAGGGATTAACTTTTATCTAATTATTCACAAGAAAGTGAAAAAGTGTATTTTCCAAAAGGTCTGAATATAACTTTTATACTTTAAGTAAAAGTCTGCAAAAATCTAGAAACTCAGGACAGCGACTTGTGATGTCAGCATACAGCACCAAAATTAAGATGAACAAATACATTTGAATGATTTTTAATTTACATTTGTTATCATTTTCTATGTGAAATACTTAACATTTTTTAACAATTTAAACAGTTATGTGAAAGCTCATGTCATCATCAGGTCAAATCATCAAACATAACTCAGAATTCTAACTGAATTTTACTTGAACTGAATAGCCACGTTATACTTCATTTTTAACTACTTGCAATCATAAACATACATGAGAAATTTCAAATATAAAACCTCTGTCTGGCACATAAAACACATGTTTTTTTGGGGGCGGCTTTTATAGTCACAGCTTAAACCTGTAATGAGTAAAGTCTGAGGAAAGTGCTAAATGTATCAGGCAGGTGGGAGGCTGGATAAATATTCATCTCTGACAACTAAAGCTAAAAATATGGCCGGAATATCACAGCTTTACTGTGGGGATTAAAAACATGCTTATATTCAGCTCGTATTTAGAAAAATATACACAGTTTGCTGCCTTTACATAATTTACACATGATGTTAAAAACAAACTTACAGCTCTTTCTTCCAGAAATCTATGTTTATCACACGCGGCACAGTAATTTTTCCAATCACAGGAGGACTCTAAGCAAAAATTTACAACCTTATTTAATCAAAGTAATCAGCAAAATCAGCACTGATTCATAGTTAATCTGAAATACGGATGTAGAAATGTGGGTAGTTATTTTGTACATCTGTGCAGATTTAAATCCTTGTTAAAGGAACACATTTTAACAACAAATAAATATGCTCCATTTTGCAAATAAAATCATTAGGAACGCCACCTTTTAAAGGAAATATGCCAAAATATATTTATTTATATTTAATTATTGCACATACAAAACAAAATCTAAGGTCCTGGATTATAAAATTCAATAATTTGGTGTATATGTGTATGTTTCACCTTATAGATGGACCCAGTGCAGAAGGCGGTGATCAACCACACTTTTGGCATGACTCCACCCAAGAAAAAACCCATCATCTCCTGTAACATCTGCCACCTGCGCTTCAACTCTACTGTAAGTGCTGTAACTCTACTTTTCCTCGATGTCACAAAGGAAAGTTTGTTAGCATCTAGAATGCAACCTTAAAATAACCTGAAATCATCTCTCGTGCACCACAAGAAGATAGAAAATCACCTCTGACCACATAGCTGGGTTTTTTTTAGCCATTAAAGATAGTAAATCATATAATTTTTTGCAGCACGAAAATACATTTATGCCCATAGCTTTTCCAAACACTCCTCTGAAGTTCTTCTTCTTACCATTTTTTGCAGTCAACACAACATCTACATATTTTCAAATAATGTAATATTTTTTGCATCCCAAAAATGATCTTATTGCTGGCTATCTGTCTTATAACTCTGCTTGTTACATTTCTATCCTCTCTATTTTCAAATCACAGGCCACTTTAAAGGAAACCAGTCTGCTAGTTCTATTGCCTTTTATTCCTTATCACATTTTATTCATATTCATTTGACTCCAATGCCTATGGAGTTCATTTATACATATTTGCATTTATGTTGTTAAGAGGTAACAGGGAGAATGACAATGACTCTGCTTTTTTGTGAAACTTTAAAGAAGCAGGACACTGGTCCAGGCTGATTATCCTACTACTCTTGCTTCCTAATCTTCTTTTTCTGTCTCTGCTCTTTACTTTTGGGTGCACAGTGATGGAGTCTGTTTTCTAGCTAACAGGCTCTCTCCTCCCTTTGTGTTACCTGCAGCTGTGCTGAGAGTGCTGGTTGACCCAGGAGTTGGATGCCAGGTTGCAGGCAGGTACCGGATCCCAACAGGGGGCAGAACAGTGCACTTGCACTTCACAATTAAAGAGGAAGTCCAGTATAGCTGTGTAGCACTTTTTATGCTCATTGTTTGTGTAGTGCATAAAAAAGTTACAGCTGAATAATTTTTTGCAGTTTTACATCCTATTTTTCATGCTGGACGCACAGCTTCAACTTGGGATTTAAATGGGATTTAGCCACACCCAGTTATGCTGGTTAAACTGTTATTTCTATTGTTTTACTGATTAGATGTTGCAGTAAATTGATAACATCTGCTAAGCTTTGTAGCTTTTCATTACCTGTGCATGTCTTAGCATCTTTTAGCCCATTGTTTTGGTTTTCTAGCATTTTGGATTGCTCTTAACAGTTTCATATTGTTTTTTTTTTTTATACAATAACCTTTTTTGGTTAACACAGAGGCTTAAAGGTCAAGATCTGCAACTAGCTTGTGGACATGGCGGTGTATTCAAATACTAGAGAGCTTTCTCAGGAGTTGGTGGAGAGAATTCAGTGTCTTATGGTTCCTATGTCCTTCTTTTGCACACATTTTATGGTAAGGTCTTGCTAGTAGAGCGGCTTTTTAGCACTAATGAGGATGTGAATGTATCCTTAATGGGAAGCTCAAGCAGTTTGTCCAGTATGAAGTCAAATAAGGATGACTGTGAAAGTAAAACCTTCGTGGGATTGGTGTAAAAATTCCAGATTATTCCTTTAAAGCTGCTGAACTCACTAAAAAGCATGAAGGTCTGACAGATCAGCAGATCATATATGATATGACCTAATTTTTCTGCTCCGTGGACAGTTGCTTGTGTGTGAAGAGTATCACTGATGTGACAAATGCATAAAGCAGCTTGAATGAAGGTCATTGGTCTCCTTCAAGTGTCTGTAACTGAAGATCTTGGTCTTGCAGTCCTGGGATTCTTATTCCATGCGTTTTTCTTTCAACGATGCTATGGTGGAACATGGTGAACTCATACTACACTGGCATGCCAGATAGTATGGCAGTATGCAGATGACAGCAGAGTCGTCTGCCTGACTCAGTGGAAAATCACGCTGAATGGTTGGTGTGCACTGACATTCAACGTAGCCAAAGGGCTTGTATACCCTTTGCTCAGCCCTCCATTCCCAACCACACACTTTGACCCATGGTGCCACCCTTTCTGTTTGCGTAGGAGTCCAAGCTTTATGCAAAGTGTTGACAGGGAGACCTCTACCCCACCACTCTATGCACAATCTGTGCTCACCTAAAGATCATGTCTGCACACTATGAATTCGAATGTGCATTAGCAAGGGATGTACAGTGTGTGCCTTGAAACTGGTATGGATAATTTGAGCAATTACAAATTATCTAACAGCCTTGTGTGAAGCCAGATACTTGAAGTCTTGTCTCACTGATTCTCCGTTCTTTAGGAAGTGCACTTGTGTCTTTCTTATACAGAAAGGCACTGGGGTTGCAAAAAAATATGTGCTCTTAAAGGATAAGTGTGGTTATGTCATCATATTTTTCTTATTGTTATATAAGTCAATGCCATGAAAAGAACAAAACCATTAAAGGTTATTTAACTCCAATATCTCAGCACTGACCCTTGCAATTTCATTTAGACCCTTTATAAATAGCACTGTCCTTTTTAGAAAAGGTTACTTAAACAGCTTTTATTTTATAGAGTCTATTTTTATTTGTTGTATTAGATATATTGTATTTAAAACACATGGTATGCATACATACAGAGAGAAAAAAGAATTTTATGTCTCATACTATCATTTACTCATCTAAATGCCAACCTTTAGTTTATTCTTATGCAGTATAAGAATTAAGTATGAATCATGTAACTATTATGCTGCATGAGGAAAATGGCAAATGCAGACATTTAACCTCTTGAAAGCCTACTAGAAGTAACCCTTGAAGCTCTTCTCTGAACTGAGAGGTTTCTGTCATATTTCAGGCCTGCTTAAGGAACAAAATGACTCCATTTGCATCAGAAGTTAGTGAGGGTGGTCCCTGCCTATGCAGCTACCCTTGGAAAAACCCAAGAAACTATTATAACTGTGGTCAAACCATGTCTTTATTGATATATACTCAAGTGTCAACACATGGGAAAAGGGGAGGTCGTCAAATGTCATCTTTATCGGGGGAAGAGGTAATAATTAAATCACATAATTATTCCGTTCATTTTCTTCAACTTACTCAATTCAAGGTTGTTGGCTGAGGGGATGAAGGGGTGAGCCTGTCCCACCTGTCATGTGACCAAAGGCAGGTACACCCTGGACAGGTCCCTAGTCTATCAAAGGGCTAAATTAAATTACACATTTTTAATTTGACATGTCAAGAAAAGTATCGGCTGTCACCAACTTATCCTTTGAGTACTGCTTGTTCTGTATTCATGATGTTTTGGATTGTTTGGTTAAGTTGCTGAAGCAATATTTGAACTTTTCGCCAACTAATCTTTGGTAATTTATCGTCATATATATATTTCACAATCTATGTAAATGACTCACAGTTATATTCATAAATAAATAAAATCAAACGAAGTTCCTTTTGTCTCTGTTCAAAAAAATAAAGTTTGCAAATCAGTCGTCATGGAGATGGCTTGGTTATAAAAGATGTCATGTAAATATTCAGCAGGACACCTATATAAGATTTATTGTATTTATTAATGAAATAATTAGCAAAATTGTTTTTTTTCCTTTATTTTGTTTCCTAAAGATAATTCTTGTATATTAAATACTAAAATTTAATGTTGTTTGGACGTACACGTTTTTTTTTTTATCCTGCTTCGGCTGTTTTCACTGTTGGTATACTCTGACATGAAGCTGGAAGCAGATCTTCTTCCGTAGAGCTTTGTCTACAGATATCCAGAGTCATATGGGGATCACACATATCTGCATGTGTCTGCTGTCTCGTTGCCACAAATGTGTTTTCTCTTACAGAGGGAGGCACAGAGGTCATTTTGTGTCACAGTGTAACGGACACGGGCCATTTTGTGTCAGAACGAATCAGTGGAAAGATGAGCCAGTGAGCTCAGAGGATGCTCATGAGATGCCATTAGTCCAACTGATGCTCATTTGTGCATCATCATGACAATGATGATTATCAAAATGGTGATGTGATTCTCCCTCAGAGTCAAATGCTTAAACGCATATTTTTTTCCCCCTAAATTTATAAGAGCATGTGAAGTCGAAGCAGTGGAACAGATGGAACTATTACAGTTTACTGATTTCGTGCTGTCCTTCACTAATTTAATCAGTCATTCTGTGCATATACTCTACGCTGACTTTCCCCTTTGCTTGTTTTGCCCTTGTGTGCACATTCCTGTGTGTGTGTGTGTGTGTGTGTGCACGCGCGCATCTCTGTGTGTATGTGTGATTGCTAGACCCAGGCAGAGGCCCACTACAAAGGTCACAAGCATGCTCGCAAGCTAAAGGCCTTGGAGACCCAGAGGAATCGGCAGAAGAACGGACAGAGTCAATCAATATCAAGCAAAGACAGAGATAGGGACAAGGGTGTGATGGGAGGAGTAACTGGGCCAACAGACTCGCAATCGAAAGACAAAACAGGTATACATTTTTCTTTTCTAAATCCAGTCCTCTCGCCACGCTCTGAGTAATTAGATGTAATTGGGGAGACGTAAGCACTAAGGCTTGGTAGCTGCCACTCAGCTGGTTAATTACCAGCTATTACCTGTCCTACTATCATTGGATCCGTCAGACAGGTAATTACTCACATCAAGCTAAGACATTCGGCAAGATGAGGAGCCTTAAAGCACCTCAGCAGAGATTCCATCTACAGAGATGTGGTAGTGTTACTGTCAGATTTTGGTTTTTATTCAACAGTGATACGAGTCCCACATTCAAGTTCCTTATTCCTGTTATTTAATGAGGTGCTGTCACTTTGGACATGTCAAACAGTGTAGAAAATTATGGAAAATCGGTCAGAAGTACGGGTAATATTTGCCCACGAGTATTCTTTTCAAAACCAAAAAGGGTCTGGATGTAGCCAGCAGTGGTGGCTAATGGATGTAGCAAAGAATATTATAGCAGGGTTTCATTTCTTTCCAGCTGCTTTTTTTTTTTTTTTTTTTAATTAAGATTTACTGCATAGATGGTAGAATTGATATGTCTTTTAGAAAATATGTTTTTTTTGTTTTGTTTGTTTTCATATTTTTGCACTGAAAATGGGTTCTGATCTGATTAATTAACTTATTTGTGCTTCAGTAGAGCTTGGAGTTCTTCAATGAGAAGGGCAGCAGAAATCATTATCAATTGATCCTTTTTTTTTCCGTTTAATTTTTCAATTATTTCTTCAATGAAATCCACAGACCACAAATCCCCAGAAAAAATATGGGGACATTAGTGCTTACCATTACTGACCCATGTCCTTTCCATATTGTTAACTTTATAGCTATTGGCTGTATAGTTGCATTAACAGCAAAGAGTAATGACTTTGCTATTTGCTTTTTTTTTACTTCTTTCTAGTCATTAGTCACTCAACTTCCCATTCTTCCTGACTAAAAACACACCATCTTCTTTTCTCTCCTCTGTCTGGTTTTCCTTTTCATTACTGATCCTCTCTCTTCCATTTTCTTCCAGCGCCTATCAATTTCCCTCTAACCACATAATGATAAGCTTGTTACATTCGGTGGTTGCCATGGTTGTTGATTGATGGTGACAGAGGGAGCTTCGGCAGAGAGAGCGAACGAATGACAGCGAGACGCAGGGACAAAGGAAGAATGATTGAGATGGCAGGGGAAAAAAGCAGAAAAGATATGAAAATTAAAGAGAGATGAGTGTAATATAAGTATAATAGCAGGATTATATGAAAGGATGAGAACAAAGAAAAAGTTGCACAGGGAGGTCAGGGCCTGGTTCTTTTCTAAAGAAATAACTTAAGTCAAGAAAATGCATTATTCATACTTTGACTGTGAAGAAATCATGTTTCATGTAAATCAAATAATTCTGTAAGTTTAAAAATTACACGAGGTGTGGCCATAAATGCATAAATAAATTTACAAAAACATCTAAAATGTATTTGAAATTTAAAAACAGTGAGTCTAAGCATGAAACCCTCATGAAAATAGGATTTTAGTGATACCTTTACAGACTGGTCTCAGTCTGTGGTTTAATCTGCTGCATTTAGTCCCTTATATTACAATAAAAATATATCTTAGCATTTGCATTCTTTGTAATTAGTGGTTAATATACTCTATTTTTCATACCCCCAGAAAAAGTCTGGACTTTCTCTTAACTATCTGTTTAAAATCAGATTAACATTCAATTTACATTGGATCAAATTTAATGTAACATTATAGTACGTGTTATTATCTTACTACTAATATGTAAAATTGATGGTCATAATGAGAAACCAACAGAGACGAGAGAGTAATCACCTGACCCTGCGTGATAGCAGTGCAGCTCTTTGAAACATTTTGACTTCGGGGATCAAAAAGGGGATTGACCCCTCATTTATCCTTTCGGCATCTCAGTTTACAGCTTTATGGACTCTATAGGAAAGTATTAGTGCCAAACAACAAAAGATGTGCTGGAGAGTAATGAAGAACTTACATTTTCCTCTATAAAATACATTATGCTTGCGGTCTAAACCAGTATTATTTTCATTTGCATGCAACCTTGAAGCCTTTGGGAACAATTATGTGATGCTTTCACTGATAGGAACTTGAATATAAGAATCAGTGCCAGTATTTCTGGTTTTTCATGTTTGTATACTGAATTTTGGGGTGTACAAAATCCACTGTAGTCCTACAGCAGTTTGCTGGATAATTGCAGAACTCACATTTGTATTCTCATAACAAGATCAGTGGTTGTCGCCTGGCAGTTTGGCCCAAATATTAATTTTAATAATGTGACATAAGTCAGGGAATTGTATTTAGTCAAAATGCTACTGTACTTCCATTTGCATCATTAATGCATAATGAAGGGGTGAATCTACATAATAATATTCACCCCTTTTCAGTTCTTAACTTCCCCTTCAGTCACCTTGTTATGGTACCTTGACTGCTCTCAACGGATTGTTTTTGCCACATTAGGCAGCTGTAGCCTCGTAATTAATGACTCTCCACTGGAAAGCAAATTGGATTCTAGTATTTCCTTAAAAACGCTAGTTTGGTCAGTATACCCATAATGAAAGGTTTTCTTCTTATGTTTATGTTCATTTTGCCAAACCTGTGCAGCACTTTGGTGAACTAAAGTTGTTTAAAATGTGCTATAAAAATAAGCCTTGACACAACTTGATGTGTTAACAGGCCCAGTCACGTCATCCACTTCTGCACAGCAGCAAATGGAAATCAGCAAAGGGAGCTCACTGGCTGCCACTCCCTCTTCACAAACTTCATCCACGGACTGTTCGTTGCTAGCCTCTCCTCACCTATCCCCCCATGTTTCCCCGAGCTCTCAGTCTTCTGATCTTCCCTCAAACGTTCCACATGTGGAAGGGTGCAGCACGGCCACCAGTTCAGCACCACAGTCTGAGCCTCAGGGAAGCTCGACAGGAGGCGAGGAGGAAACAGTGAAGGTGGAAGAGGTTAAAGAGTCCAAGAGCAACAAAAAACATCTCCACTGCCCTACATGCAAAGTGACGGTCAATTCCAGCTCCCAGCTGGAGGCTCATTGTAGCGGTAGGTAGTTCATCTCTTTGTTTTTTGCCCTTTCAATCTTTTTATTCTTTATTAATAATATTATTTAACATCTGTTCTTCCGGTCTGATTGGTACTGATTGAATCAGGCTCTAAGCACAAGCAGATGCTGGACGGTCAGAATACCAGCCAGCCACAACGTAGGGTCAAGATGACATCATCATCCAGACCAGCCTGTCGAATTAAGCAGCGAATGGGCAGCAAAGCCAGACCAGCAAGACCAGTTGGTGTAAACAATCAGCCTTTTCACTGTGAACTGTGCCAAGTGTCTGTCAACTCAGAGTCACAGCTGAAACAGGTACGAATACTTATCCTACTATTTTACTTTGCTAATTTTACTGCTGCATAAACCACCTGTCAATGTACAAATGCTAAAAATACAGGATGACTACTCTTTATACTCTACAAGGTAACTCTTTGGGAGTTTGTGTGAGCTGTCTTGACAAAACGACTTTATTCCTTCCTTTCTGTCCTTTTTTTAGCACATGAACAGCAGGAGACACAAAGAGCGTTTGGCTGGGAAGCCTGTCAAGGCGAAGTTCACCCCCTATAATAAACTACAGCCCAGTGCTGTCTTAGCGGTGAGAATTTCTCTCTCACACAGACACACACACACATTTGTCCACTTTTATTTTTGTCTAAATCACAGATGGCCATTCAAGATCACTTACAGCACAAACAAAACATACACAAACTTGTCAGATGCAAATTAAGTGCTGTCCCTTGCACCTGTCAGCATTTTTTGCAACAATGCTGACATGTGCATTTAACTCTGAGCATCACTGTGTGTAAGTACAGCTTTACAGATGCTTGTTCAGGCTGAACACTTTTTCTTGTCTTTGATTTCAGACTAAACTGGCCCTACAGAAGCAGCTATCCAAGGCCCTGCCACCGGGCTTCCTGACCAGCCCCCTTAATCCAGCTGCCCTGTGCACCATGGCGTCTGGACCGTTGGCACTACGGCTTCCACCGGGCCCTACAGCCATAATCCAGGGTCCCCTGATCAGCCCCACGCTCTTCAGGCCTGCCCCAGGACCGCTGAGGGCCACACATGCTCCTATTATCTTCTCTCCTTACTAGCAGGGAGCATGATGCTGAAGGACCAACAGCACAGCTGACCTAACCTAGCTAAAACTGGGAGAAAAGATTAAACTGGTCTTCTGAGAACAAATCACAGCCCCCTCTGAGTGACAAGGACACTACACAGAGAGAGTGGGGACAACATATTATGTCAAGTTTGGCAAGTCATAAGAGCAAAGGGCACAATCCCCTGGTGTGGATTGAGATTTTGGCGCTGACTGACCAGCGTCTCATACTTAAAAATGGAAGGACCATTGCTCAGCTGTCTCCTGTCAGCAAACTGTTGAGTGCATGTTCCCCGGGGTCTGGACCCCTCTGGAAGCCATAAGAATAAGCATCCTCTAGTTTTATTTATAAAATAATAAGAAACTAATACACTAGGGTGTTTAAGTGTTACAGTGTTTGTTGCCAAAAAATTCTTTAATTTTAGGAAGTTGTACTCTGGGAGAAGAAGAAAAACACTTTATCTTTGCTTAAGTTTTCATAACTAAATCTGAAACTCCCAGGAAAACTGCTGATTTCCATATGCCAACATATGACAAAAAAAAGTGCAGATCTGTAACTTGTCAGGCTGAGACGACGACAATGACGACAACGAATCCTGACAAATGTTACAATTTTACAGCCATCAACAAATACAAAATGCCTTTTTTTAAAAAAAAAATAATTTATTTGATACTGAAGGTTGTAAGAGTGCTGTGCTTGAAAGCATTTTACATGGAAAGTGTGCACTACTACCATCCATGTCTCACCATTATACATCAGAGCAAAGGATCAAGGGAATGTTTCTTTAATTTAAACTCTGTTCTGGCCATACTAGAAGAATAAATCTTCATAACACTGACAAATACCAGTAGTTTAAAAGTTCTAAACCAGTTAACCACCATCCTTTGAATATACACATAAGTGTTACAAGTGTTTGACACATCAGTCTTTACTGTGCGACCCTCAATCATAGATTGGTTCCCTAAATTGGAACTCGGTAATCAAAAACTCTGATGACAGGAGCCACTATGATGCATGTTTTTTAGGAGAATTTTAGATGGCTTCATAGGCATTAACACTTAAAGTCCCCAGAATTACGGTAGCAGGTATAAGCACTATTTAAACATAAATGGTTTAAAACACACTATAATGTAGTTGTATTTAGATATAAGAGTGTTTTGTTTTAACAATAGTGCAGTGTATTTGTAATAATCAAAAATCAAAATTAGAAATCTTGATAAATACAATCCATTGAACAACACACTCCTTATATCTAGCAACTTATCTAATGTTTTTTTTATGCTGCCTTAGAAAAGCTAAAGAAGGGGACTTCAAGTATTTCCAGTGAATTAACAAACTGTAACAGCTTGATGCTGTTTGTGCAATATGAACAGATGGATGGATGTGTGTTATTCATCATATCAAAAGGCTTTATCCACAAGTTTTTAAAGTGTCTTTAACATTATATTATAATTATTATTTATAGAGTGTATTTAAAAAAGAAAAACAGTGTCCTCTCATTATAGAAATCTCTATCCTACATGGCTGTGCTAAATCACCCTAAGCAATATGTATTTTTAAGTGTCACCCAGTACAATTAATGACTAGTGTAACTGTGCATCAATTGCAATAATGTAAATTATAATGTGGTAAAAAAAAAAAAATGTTGATACTGTATTCTATATGAACTTATAAATAGCCCTGGTTTTTAAATCATTGTGCTTGTGTTTTTTTTGTTGTTTTTTTTTTACAGGCAAACAAGTGTCTTTTTCTTCTTCTTATAATTTCATAGTGGACGCATGTCATAAAATAACACAGTCGACTGATACAAAACGGGGTTCAGAATTATTGTGTTTATAATTAAATAAAATGAATGCGTCATATGACATGAGTCTACGGGTTGTAGAAGAAATTACACATGTGGTGAATTATTGACCACTGAGGATTTGAAATATTTTTACCTGATTAAGTCGCAGTTGATCTGTTCCTTGTGCCTGTATTTTAATAGCTTAGTGCCCTCTACTGGTAGGCAAATAAAGTGTAAAATAGTGTAACCTAAGAGTACACAGATGTTGGTACCTTTTTTTGACATAGAGATTGGTTTTAAAAAAGATTATAAAGAACTGTGGCTATCGGGATTTTTATAATGATGGCATATAATATTTAGAAACGACATCTAATTACTGGTCCAATAAATTATTTACAGTCATTCTTGTTACCTAGACCTTATAGTCTGGAATAAATGCTATTGTATGCATATTGAGCACTTTCATAAGCAGATTTATAAGATAGGAAAATCCATATCCACACGTACAGTTGTGGGTTATTTTATCTGGAAAAGTCTGCATGCTCCCGGGTGAACACAAAGAAATAAATTAATAAGTAAAGTAGAATACAAGTGAAGGTATATAGATGATTTGAAGGTTTAAAGCTAACAGCATCATATTACTGGTTAATTTCTTTTTCTTTTCTTTTCTTTTCTTTTTTTTTTTACTTTTGGTAACATAAAAAGACGATTTTACTCTTAGTATTGCCAGAAAATAACCTACATTTAGACACATTGATATGTATGAATGTTTTTTCGGCACTTCCTAGCAATATTAACGAGCCCACTACTGGAAAGTGTGTAGTGATGTGTATATACTGTAAATACAAATAAGAGAAATAACACTGATAACAGCAGGGAAGCAAATAATGAAGTTATGAAACCTAGAATAGGACGTGTCTATATACATCCTTCAAAATAAAAGTCCAAACCACCAATCGCGCCGAATTCTCATAAATCTATAACATTTTGTTCATGAAATAAATGGACATCATTACTACTACAGACACATATCCCGCTTTAAGAACAAATAAAACTTCGTGTTGTACATTTTACTGTTTTCTTTTCTTTTTATGGTGACCTATTTTTTGAATTGACACAAATAGCCATTTCCGGAAATTACGTCAATTCACAGCAGTATTTTCCAGAAAAAATGGCAGCTGTTGACATCGACGTGCCGGTAGAAACAGAGCCGCAAATCTGCAACCAGGAGGACCTTGAACGGTAAAAGTATACCTACTCGTCGGGTTTCACTGTGATGCGTGTGTGGAGTGAAAATAACCCGAGTGATATTAGCCGGTTAGCTGACAGAGCTCGGAAACATCAGTGCGGTCACCCCGGAGCCAAGCTAACCGTGCTAGCTTAACTCGACAGCGTTCTTAAATCTTGCTTTTTAGAAATCTCGGGCATTTGCTTTGTTACTATTTGGGGGATTTACATCAAAAATAAAATTGTGAACTCAATTTAGCCAACCGGGCAGCTCGCCAGATTGTTCGTTAAGAAAACAAAACAAAACCAGGTGAACTGGCGTGCTTTGCCATGGTCAATATGAGGTATCCGATAATTCACGTGCGCTTAACCCCTTTGGGCGTCATTGAGCTGTATGTCAATATGTGTTTAAGTCTCATCCTTAAGAAAGCATCTTATTTATTGCATACTAGCAGTTCCAGCTTTCATATTCGAGAAACTTCCATAAGAGACTGTCAGGTATGATCAGCAAAAGCCTTCATAACCTTAATTTTAAGTGATTACTTGTTTTCAATACTTTCCCGAGAGGTTTCATGCCATTTTACTGTATTCAAACAGTAACGAGACTATGCCGAAGGTTCTGCACCTAAAGGGAATCGAGCATGAGCGCCTCGCACCCTCAGCTCACCCGGGTGAATCGCATCGGAAACGAGTCATCAACGTGCGCTTGGCACGCAAACATTTTTTTTATTGGTCTCCTTTCGTGCATGCGGCCTTTGTTGCATTTCAGCTTAAATACACCGTTACGCACCTGCGTGGGATAATAAAAGTACTGTTAGGTGTTATACCTTGTCAGGCTTACATAACGATGAACTTGAAAGATTAAAATGTAGGATTGAGTGAGACCTGAATTAATCGTACCGTAAATGTAAAATGTGACTAAAGTGTGCGGAAGGAAATTGTTTTCAGGATTGTAATAGAAATATTTTTGACCTGTTTTTAAAGTTGGGTTTCTTTAACTAAAACATGTAACGCATTATTGTTATCAAATGGTCGCAACAGGAAGCTCCGTGGACTTTATATAGAACACAGTAAAGCCACCTGATTGCCTTAATGATTTGCGGGCTTATTAATGAGCAAAGTAACTCCCCAAAGCCTAATTTTGCTTTAGTAGAATTATCCTAATGTTAAAGTTTGATAGAAAGCAAACCGATTGGGCAAGTAATCCTTGGAAAATCATTTATAACTCTTGTGGCTAAAAAAGTTAAACAAAAAAATAACTAAAAAAATGTTGCGCATCGTGTCTTTTTCAGAAATCTATAATTAATTATTTGGAATTTCAAAATCAGGAATCAAAGTAACAAAATATTTGGAGCGGTGAAAAAGAGTGCTGGAAGGGTGGAGCAGTGACAACAAAATGGTAGTGAGACTGTGGTGATGTGTGGTTTGGAGGCGGTGGCACAAACAAAAAGAAAGGAGGCAAACTTAAAGATGGCAATATTTTCACTGAGAATGATCAGAATGTACAGGAATGAGTACACAGGGACAGTTTAGGTTGAGCGATTTGGAGTTAGACACCAGGTTTATTCACTTAATTTAAATTTTTAAGTTGATTCCATTTTCACTGTTAATCTGCAAAAATCCATAACTCAATTGAAATGGATCAAATTATTCCATTGTTGTTGTATGCCTCCAAGCTTTTTTTTTTCTCACAATTGCAAAACTGTGACGTCAAACTCAGAGAATTCAAGCTTTTTCTACATTGTGTAGACTCAGAGATAATACAACTTTTATGTTTTCTTTATATACAGACCATTGTCCAGGAATAAATCAGGAAATCCATTTTAAAAGTAGGTTCTATAAACATCTATATGGTCTTATTAGTATCCATCGCTATGTTGGACTGTTGTTCACAGTTAAGGCATGCAGGTTTTCACAGGAAGATAGAAACGCCACAGGTAGAACTTAGGCATAACTCTGGTTTGGTGGGATCCTGGCATTAACGCATCACATACTTCTAAAGAATTTTTTATATTTCATGAAGACATTTAATGGCTTTGCATTTTTTTTTAAATATAATGATAACCTTTTTCTAAATGAAGAATAGAATACAGATAATTTATAATTTATTAATAATTTATTTTGAATTTACACCAAATAAGAATTCTCATTTGTGTTTGTTCACTTTAAGTGAAACAACAAACTGCAGACTCTATCACTTAAAAAAGACTAACCCTAACCCTAACTTAAAAATAATATAGTAACTATAGCAGGCCGTTTGAAAGTAATTATTAGTTTCTGATTCCTCATGAAACCTAGTTCAGTCAGGTATGTGTGATTTGTGGTTGATCCACTGGTGAGTCACCTGGACTTGTTTCATCTCCGTTAAAGTGGTTTAATATTGTTTGCTTGAGTTTGTTGCTTGTTGGGTTTTTTGTGTCTGCATTCTTAGGTGTGGCTAACAAATGTCGCAACAGCACCCACATTTACTGTATCGGAAAAGTACTTTTATTGTACCTGGGTGCATTTTGGGCTGCATAAAAACTGCTACATTAAGTCATACATGGGAATCAGTGTTGAGTTCTCCTTTAACACTTGGCACTTATGAAAAGACTGCGGCAGGTGAATTTCTTGGCTATGTTTAGTACTTGAGCTATCAGTAGTCAGGACTGTATGTACCCAGATCTGCTGTCCTAGTTCTAGGTGAAGCACAGTCGAGTCCTTGTGGACACTTTGCAGGCTGGAAATTCCCTGAAAAGTGAGAACTGGTACTAGAAGAAGTATCACTGTTTTATAGTCAAGGTCATTCATTCAGTTACAGTCAGGAATTTCAGCCATCAGTGGAAACTACAATAAAAAGGTTTATAGGGGGGTTCGGGGGGGACACTAGTTTGTTTAAACGCTTCCTGTATATCTCCACCTTCAGGGGGGAAATTAAGTGGTTTATTAGTTTTCTGGTTTGAGTAGTTTTAATTAATTATGATGTCTTTTTCTCCCCTCTCCAGTCTGGCTGAAAGTTTCAAAGAGCAAGGCAATGCATACTACAGCAAGAAGGATTACTCTCAGGCTTTCAACTATTACACCAAGGCCATTGGTGAGTATACTCGGTGGCTTGATTTTAAGTTGTCTCATTGTTGACTCTAAACACCCAACGACGCCCACTCAACATTTCTTCATACTTTGCTGTTGAGAAATGCTGCCAGTGAACAGTCCCAATAAAGGCCTGCGGTACAGTCATGCACTGATTGTTGGCACATGATTTTAGTTTGGCAGTGGCTGATTCAGCTGCACACCATCCTGTAATCATATAAGTTGGGACAAAAGAAAAACAAAAAATGGGGAAGTCAGAGTTTACCTTCTTATTTTTATTTTCTGATGATGCTGAAACACTAGTTGTCAGTGATGGCAAGCCCAGATGTTGGTCTCTGATATGCACCTGTATCATTTTGTTTTTGTCACATAAATGATTCTTCTTTTTTTTAAATTTGAAGATGCATGCCCCAAAAATGCCAGTTATTATGGGAACAGGGCAGCCACCCTCATGATGCTCTGCCGCTTTCGGGAGGCTCTAGAAGATTCCCAGCAGGCTGTGCGTCTGGATGACTGTTTCATGAAGGTGAGTTTGAACTGCTTGTCACATATAGAACATCACATGTATTGTCCGCTTCGCACATCATACAGTGCACGGTAATGATGTTCTGAGAAATGTCCGTTCCATCTCGTAGGGGCATCTACGTGAGGGCAAGTGCCACCTGTCTTTGGGAAATGCCATGGCAGCCAATCGCTGCTTTCAGAAGGTTTTGGAACTGGAGCCGAGCAATAGAGAGGCCCAGCAGGAGGTGGGAAGCTTTAATCATTTTATTTAATTACTATATAAAAACAAGCATTGAGTAGGATCACATGCTGAGCTAAATATTTGAGTGAATCCATCTGTTAGTAATTATTGTTGTTTTTATTAATTTTAGAAAAATAATGCAGCAACACTGTTGGAATATCAGC